ACATATACGCATACATGTGTACACTGACCCACAAACACACATGCCCACACACATGCAAACATGCATACACACACAAGCCTATAACATATATGAAATCGAAAAATATATAAATGAAATAATAGACATGAGATCCTGTCTGGCCAAGCAGGGAGCTAAGAATGAGATTAGACAGTAATGTGGGATTGTGTCTAAACTGAACAGTTTGGTGCAGGTTGTAACCCCAGGGTAAATGCACAGGAAGGCCCAGGCTGTCTTGACTCTGTGTACATGGCTGGCCCCATGTTCCTGGCAGAGACTGCCTGGGTCGGGGGGGACATGTAGTTCCTCGGGGAAGGGCTTGGTTAGCAATACGCACCTCTGCAGATGTACAGGTCTGTGAATGTGTGCATGATTGTGGGCTTGTGCATACTCACAAGGTTAGTGCATACTGTATATGGCCTCTACCAAAGGCCAAGAAACACAGGCATAAGGGCCTGATCTAGCCCTCATGCACAATTCCTTGGTAAACCCAGTGTCTTTGAAGTGAGTGGGGGTAGTTTTGTTTTCTTGGAAACATTTAAAAGTCTGAAGAATACCCCCATCAAAATTAGGCTGTCTGGGCTGGGGATGTAGTTCAGTTCATAGAGCACTTCCCTAGCACACACAAAGCCCTAGGTTCTAAGCCCTGGGTTTGAAGCTTTAGGTTTGATCCCCAATAGTGCAAAAACCAGGCATGGTAGTGCATGCCTGTAGTCTCAGCACTAGGGAGTTAGAAACAGGAAGATTAGGAGTTCAAGGTCATCCTCAGCTACATATTGAGTTTGAGGCCAACTTGAACTAAAGACCCTGTCTCAAAAAGGAGAATTAGACTTTCCAGTTTTGCCGAGAATTGCAGGATTGAGCCTCCGTGAACCTGAACACCCACGTGTTCCCAGCCAACCCCTCAGGCCAAGTGGCAGTGAGTTCCTCAGTAAGCCCCCAAGCTCCCTGCCACTTCCTTCACATCTGAGGGTCTGTGCACACCACAGAGCTGAACCATACTGCAAGCACGGTGTGCGTGTGCCCTGAGTAATGAGGTGCCTTATCACTGGGTATGATGGAGACAACTGCCACGTCACCTGCATGGTGCATCTCTTCTCTGAATTTCTTCCTCTCCTTTCTCAGGGTCTCCCCGGCCTCAAAGGAGAACAAGGAGACACGGTGGTGATCGACTATGATGGCAGGATCTTGGATGCCCTGAAGGTAGGAGTGTTCCTGGTAGGCCCTGGATGTGCCCTTGATGTCCATTCCTCAGGGAGTAATGGCTCACTTTGTATATTATCCAAGGGGCTAAAAACAGCTTAGCACAGTAACCTCAGTTTCAGTAAGTGCCTGAAATCAGTCCTGTTTGGAGACTACTGTGGCTGACCCATGGAGCCCTGAGCTCCCCAGAGGCCAAGGCAAAAAGGAAAGCTCTTTCCTCAGGAGTAGAGGGCAGAACATTTTCTGATGACCAAACTCAGCCCTCCTGGGGCTTCCCCGGTACTGTTAGCTATAGAGCGAGGGCTTCTAATAACCAGAAGGGAGGGGGGACAAGGGGGGACAAGGAGGGACAGACCTGACCTAATAACCTTGGGATACATGTGGTCTCTGAGCCATGCCCAAGTGACTGGAACACTTGGGCCCATGATCAGATCAGAGAGAGCTGAGTGCCAGCTGCTCTTGGGTGCAGGGAGAGATGTGGGATGAGGTGAAGTATTCATCAGAGACCAGACTGGGCACTGGTGCCTGACCTTGCCTAAGTTCCAATTCCAGTTACCTCCCACAGGCCTCAGGGAAGTTCAAGCTGATGGTAACTGTGGCCCACACAAGGCTGCATGATATGGTGTGGTGTGGTGTGGTGTGGTGTGGTGTGGTGTGGGGAACTCACAGCCAGCACAGCAATTCAAAGACAGAATGGACTGACTTCTGTGGAGATCTCTGGCCCCAGAGGTGTGAGCAAATGCTAGCAGGGACTATGGGCGTGGCACGGTCTGATAAGGCAGGCTCTGAGGCACGGTGTGGGGCTAGGTACTGGGTACTCATTCCTTCATAAATTAATAAACACGCATAAAATATATTATATGGTTTGTCTGATCGCGCAGGAGACCCAGAGAGAATTCGGGCCACAGGCTCTCACTGTGTAGCCAACACTAGCCTCAATCTCACTAAGTAACCCAGGATGACCTCAAATTCACACTCACCGTTTTCCTGCCTTGACTTCCCAAGTACTGAGATTATAAGGGTGCAGGATCATACCTGGCCTGGCTTATTTGTAACTTTTATAATTGGAAAATCAGTTTGGTTATACATAAAACCTCTGGCTCATAGTTGTTTTAAACAAACTTACTTACATTTTGTTTATTTTGTGTGTGTGTTGTTCATGGATGCACTTGCCTTGCATGCAGAGGTCAGAGGACAACTTGCAGAAGTTAGTTCTCTTCGTCCATCATGTAGTTGCTGGGGCTCAAACTCAGTTCATCAGGCTTGGTGGCAAGCACACCTTTACCCACTGAACCATTTAGCTGGCCCATCAAAGCTCTTTTGACTATTGTAAACATGAAATTCCATCATCTTTTTCGGTGTCCTGCTACTGCAAAAGTATAATAATCTGATCTTCCTGCACTTACCAGGGCTTTTGTGACGACTGCATCTATGTCTGAAGGAATCTTATCATTTAGTCTGGTAAGTTTGGTCAAAGTTTTCTACACTGTGTCTCAGTATTGGTCCTCATGTGCAAAAACCCAAGTATGTACTTGTGCTTTGTTAAAACAGTTACAGCTGCCAACTTCATTATTGTGATATTACCCTTGCTTGTTGCTTGTGAGGGGCCAGAGTAGCTGGGCAGGGATGGCAGAGATGACAGGACCAAGCCATTGTTCATGTAAATTGGAGCTGTCTCGAATACCAGAAAAGGCCTTCTTAAGCTCACTTTCAGGGACAAGGAGAAGCCATTGCTGAGTCCTAAACAGGAGAATGTTTTAAAGAAATTCATACTGGAGAACTGGCAGAGAACTTCTGAGCCCTCTGGAATGGACACTGGTATCTTACCCAATGCCCAGTGCTCTCTTGCAGGCCTTTTCCAAGACCCAGGGCCCAGACCAAGCTGCATGTGGTGTGGCCTGATGTGACGGTGTGGGAAACGAGCTTCAGAGGCCTTGGTCTCAGATGGAAAGGCTGGGTATGCAGGGAGGGGCAAGTCTTGTCTAACCACAACTGGCTTGATTTTTGTGCACGGTCCTCCCAGGCCACAGGGAGCCCCCAGGACCACCAGAGATCCCTGGGGCAAGTCACCACAACTGGCTTGATTTTTGTGCACGGTCCTCCCAGGCCACAGGGAGCCCCCAGGACCACCAGAGATCCCTGGAGCCAAGGTCAGTGTAGATGCAGCCATGGAACCCCCAAGCTCTCATCTCTAGATTCTACCCCATTTCCCTTCTGGCATCCTACCATGTATTCTGGGGCTCAGAGAAAGGGGCCCTGCTCCTTCCTAACCAACCCATGTTCCTTCTTCAGACCCTAGCTAACTGCCCTTGTAGGACTTAGGGGAAGCCTAAAATTGAAAGATGGGCCGTCAGAAATGCAGTGGCCTGCTGATCTGCACAGCTGTTCTGTGCCTTGTACATGTTCATCCACCCACCCCTTGTCTCAGAATACAGAGCCTGAGATGTTCAAGTGAGGCAGGACCTGGTCCTGACCCTGGAAACCCTAGGCTCTGGGGCCCAGAACAAGGCATTGAACCCTCCAAGCCTCAGCTCCCAAATATGTAGGACCCCAACCAGAGGTGACAACCATCAACTCCATCTGCCCCTTGGGCTGAGTACATGAATGGAGGGAGACCATGGGCACCTTCCTCAAAGTCCATCTGCGAAGACCCAACCGCAGGGACTATGAGCTGATCAGGGAGGCAGCAATCCCCACTGGGGGCTAAAGGAGGTGCAACTGCTTTTACCATCTGTTCCCTTCCAGGGTGAACTTGGACTTCCCAGTGCCGCAGGAATCGATGGAGAAAAGGTCTCTCAGCCTTTCATTTCTGTGCCAATATTATATGGATATTTGTGTGTGTGTGTGTGTGTGTGTGTGTGTGTGTGTGTGTGTGTGTGTGTATGCAGCTTGGGCTGGATATGTACAGAATTAGAGACCACTGGGGGTTGTAGATGGGCTAAGATCGGGTAGGTAAGCATGACATCTGAAGCCAGGCTGTCGGTGAGCTGACCCTGTCAGCCCTTTAGGCCTTGGGTAGTACTCACTTCCTGATATCCTCAGGTTCCTGGAACACAGGTGAGGATGGTCCAAGGCTGTTCTGATGGCTCCAAGCCATAGAACGCAGTGCCTGGTGTATGAAAGCCAAGAATCCACAAATATTAGCTATTAGCTTGATGTCATGGTTTTGTGTGTGTGTGTGTGTGTGTGTGTGTGTGTGTGTGTGTGTGTGTCTGTGTGTGTCTGTGTGTGTATGTGCCTTCCTACATGAGTGAGCATCTTCTGGGGTGTCCCTCAATACCTGTAGATGTGTCTTTTCTTCTGGGTCCCTAGTATGAGGAACATCTTGCACATGGCATAATTATTTGACTGAAGGAATGCTGTCACTCAAAGCTTCTGACATGTGAGCACAGTTGGCCTCATGAGGGCTGGAGATGCAGCTCACTGGTAGAATGCTCACCTATCATGCATGAGGCCATGGCTTTAATCTCTAGCACCATACACAAAAAAATTAAAAAGAGTTAGCCTCATGAGTGCCCCAGAAGAGACACCCCAATCCTGCATACTTCCCGTATACCCCCACCCCACCCTAAGCAGCACATACCTCAAGCATGCAAGGAAGCAGAGGTCGAGTGTCCCCTTCTTCTCCCCGTAGTTCTCCTACTGTATTTGGTTGAGGGAGGGGAGAGAGCAGGTAGGAGGAGGAAGAAGAAAGGGAAAAGAGGAAGGAAGGGAGGGACAGAGAAGAAGGAAGGAAATGGAAGGAGGGAGGGAGAGGAGGGGATGGAGGAATGGAGGGACGGAGGGACAGCGGGAGGAAGTATGGTCAGGCCTGTTAAGGTCAGAGACCCACCAGGGTGAGGGGGGAGGAGAACGTCCACAAATCTCCACTCATTCCTTATTCTGGTGACTTTCAGTGTCTCAAAGGACCAAAAGGAGACCCAGGAGAGCCTGGGCCAGTTAGGCCCAAAGGGGAAGTAGGCGAGATGGGCCTATCAGGCCTCTTGGTAGGTGGCTGGGCTGGGTTCTACCCTAGGAACTTACTGCTCATGGGGAATGGAGGTACTTGTGTGAATGTGTGCCCACCACTGGACAGCCACTGGGCACTCTGGAGTCAGAGATGCAGGCTGGAGAGGATGGAACACACTCCTCTGTAGGCCCTGCATGTCAACCCAGTTCAGCTTGGGGCCAGTCAGCTCACACTAAGACTGCCCTACAAGCCTTCACTTCTTTAGCTGTAAAAAAAACCTTCGCCCAAAAAAATCCTTCATCCACCTTACAAGGCCCCCTGCAGGCCATTGCCCCACCCCACAAGGCCCCTTGCAGGCCCTTGCCCCACCCCATAAGGTCCCCTGCAGATAAAGTAGGAAGGCCCAGGCCTGTTGAAGCCTTTTGGCTTGGTGGCTAGACTCCACCAGGGCAAGCTGCCCCAGGTCCCAGCCCTGGAGACTTGCATAGCAAGCAGATCTCCCCAGGTCTCAATTTCCTTGCTGTTCACATGGGAGTGGTCATTTCCCACTCCCATGAGAGCTTTTGGATGGGGTTGAGAGTGACAACTGAACACCGCTGTCACAGCGATTGTGCACCCCTGAGGATGATCAGCCAGAGGTGCCACTGGGATTTGAACCCAGGTCTTTGTTCCACAGCCCCTGGTCGCCCCTGCACCACAAGACAATTTGTATATGCTATGGAAATGCCCACTCTCCTCCCTGTCTAGGGTGTTTGATTTGGGAAAAACTTTTTTAAGTTTCAGGGGCCAACTCATCCCTGGGGTGGTTAGGGCCAGGGAGGGAGGCAGCTGAGCACCCTAGGAAGTGACTTTAGGATGGCCAAAAAGAGCTCACAGGCCACCCTGTCTTGCAGGGTGCTGATGGTCCCAAGGGAGAGAAGAGAGAGTCAGCATCTGATCACCTACAGGAAAGCCTGGTAAGGGGGTACTGAGGCTTGGGGCTCCCCTACACCCAGCGCAAACTCAGTGTGGGGCCCTGAGCCTTGGCACAAAGAGTTTGTCTCACCTGATCCAACCCTGGACAGTGGGGGATGGGGAAGTGAGGAGTCTTGGATTATGTCCCCCACCTCAGGCCCAGCTGAGACCCCAAAGACCAACCACTGGGCCCCTCAGTAGGGTAGCCTTTCTCAGCCCCTCACTAAGGTAGCCCTTCTGGGAGCAGGAAGAAGTCAAAGTGTGGTACCCAGGAGTGCTTGCCAGAGTGCGGGGCGCTCCAGAGTGTAGGCAAGTGAGGGGTGATGGACAGGGAGTGATTAACACATTTCTGACCCTTCCTAGGCCCAGATCATAGTGGAGCCAGGGCCTCCTGGTCCTCCTGGCCCCCCGGGACCTATGGTAAGGACAATTTGGTTTAAAACAGCTAGAATGCTGGTGGTGAGTACAGGCCCATGAAGCCCAGGGGAGAACAGGCTTCTTCATCTGGGGAACAGGGCATATCCAGTCAAAAGGGCAGAGTTGGAGTCAGGGCCACATGAGCCAGCAACTAGCCTGATGCAGAGGGCCTGGGCCTTGACGTCTGTGTTCAGCTTTTTGGCCCAAGTAATCTGCTCTTTCCTCCTCCAGGGTGTTCATGGGATCCAAGGGCCCAAGGAGAGTGTGTGGAGACCCTTTGCTCACTCAAAAATTTTGCTAATGTACAGAGTGAGGCTTCTGTTCAGACCATCGCTTTCCTCATGTCCTCAGAGCAGTCTCTCCTCCAGACTTGGGACACTGTCCTTTCACTCTCCCTCTGCCTGGGTACCCAACTGCCTCCCTCCTCCTCCAGCCCATCTCCCATCCCTCCTTGCCTATTTCCTTACCTTCCTCTCTGCCCCCTTTCTGTCCTCTGTCTGCCTCTCCCCACGTACATCTGCAACTTGACTATCCCCAGCCTGGACTTGAAGTCTCAGGTTTGGTGTGTATTTCATCATGTCCTGACTCTTAAATCAAAACCTCAAGTGTGTTCTACTGTGTGCCTATCTCTCAGGAAGCAGACATAGAGCAGACGGCAAGCTGGCCTTACCCGCCTTGTCACAGAGCATCTAATCCTTCATTCCCAGGTCCCAAGGGGGACTCTGAGTCATGGAATCTTGACCTGGTGGGGCCAAGCACTTCTTCTGGCCCTGTATTATCCCAAAGCTTCAGCAAACCATGGTTAGAAGAGGCAGCTGCTCTCTGGGCCATGTTGAAAACTGAGCCTCAGGAACCTGGGTGCTTTGCTGTTCATCCCTGCCCCATTCTATGGAGTGACAGTGACCACAGCCCACCCCCATGATCTCTGGGGGCCCTGTATGTGAGAAGAGGGGAAATGTACGCACACAGCTCATTCATATTATTCCCTCTGGGAGTGAGCTGGGGCCAGGCTTCGTAGAGCCTGGAGCCTGTCCCTCTGTCTACCTTCCCCTTTGTCATCCATCCTTTACCCATCACCAAAAATTCTACTCAAGGCTGCCACTAGACTTGGCACTGAGAACACAGAGGGACAAGTCAGCAGCAAACCTGAGGAACAGAACACACCACAGTCCCCACATAGACCCAAACTTCCCTGTCCTTATGTTTCTCTGACCGCTTTCCCCTGACTGGTTTCCCCATTACTTCCAGGGCCTGGATGGAGTAAAGGGAGAGAACAAGCGTGCCTCGGGTGAGAGAGGCTCTCCCGGCCGGCCTGAGGAACAGAACACACCACAGCCCCCACATAGACCCAAACTTCCCTGTCCTTCTGTTTCTCTGACCGCTTTCCCCTGACTGGTTTCCCCATTACTTCCAGGGCCTGGATGGAGTAAAGGGAGAGAACAAGCGTGCCTCGGGTGAGAGAGGCTCTCCCGGCCTGCCTGTGAGTGTCATAAGCCTTGCTTGTCCCTTAGAGGTGTTGTATCCAATTCCCACCATTCCCCCTGACCCTCTTCTTTTCCATCCAGCGGCAAGTTGGTCCACTGGGCCTTATTGGCCTGCCAGGAACCAAGGGAGAGAAGGTAATCCCCGTCCCTGCATACCCCAGCACATTGTGGCCACATGTCTGTCATGCTACTCAGCCTTTGAGGCTTATCCCCTGTGCCCTGATGAGTCCCTGCATCCCACAGGTCCAGGAACTGTGGCTCTGTGACATTATCCTGCAAGGCCCCCATGCCTGTTACCAGTCAGAGGATTGAACTCCCCAGCAGTTAAACTCCCAACCCCCACTCCACATCCCCTCATGCCCCTTTCTGTATCTCTCCACAGGACAGACTTGGGGAGCCAGGACTTGATGTAAGTTTCTCATGGTTTGCTCTGAGCGACTGAGTCCCTCCTGTGTGTGTTTTCCATCATCATACTATTCGTGCATGTAGCAACCTGACTAGTTCAAATGTGACCCGTTCCCCAAGACTGCT